TGTATAGCAATTGAATGTATATGTAAAAAAAAATCATAAGAACAAAAAATAGGGCCTAAAGAATTTTTAATGATACAATGAAATAAAGATGACCTATTAAGTAGGCAAAATATAAAATTAAATATATGGTATGAACCCAAATATGTAATTATTAAAAAGTATGGGTGCGATGTGATAGAAAAAAAAAAAATTACAATGAAGAGGCAAGATAAGTTAAAAGGATGGGATCTGGTTCCAGAATATCGGGGTTCAGGGACCAGCAGGTGGCGTGGTGGTTAAGGATGCTGGACTCCCACATGGCTAACCACAGTTCGAGGTCCAAACCTGGCAGCTTGCCTTCTCTCTCTCTCTCTCTTCTTCTCTGGTCAAATTAAATAAATAAAGTTAAATGAAATAATTCTTTAAAAAAAGAAAAAGAATATTGGGGTTCAAAATCCAGTTCTACTACCTACCAGCTATCACTCCCCTAGGTGAGCTTCACCCTCTTAAGCCTCACTTTCCTCATCTATAAAACGGGGATAGTGGGGCCAGTCCATAGCGTGGTAATTAAGGCACTGGACTCTCACATGGTTGACTGTGGCTCCTGGACTTGGCAGCTTAATTTCTCACATTCTTTTTCTGTCTCTCTGGTCAGATTAAAAATAAATAAATAAAAGGGACTAGCAGATGGCATAATGGTTACATCACTGGATTCCCACATGGCCAACCACAGTTCAAATCCCAGACCCAGCTGCTTGAAACTCACACCAGGCACATGTATATGCACATCCAAAATTCCAAAAGGAGAATGAAGGAGAATGGACAAGAAGGGATTGCAGTGCAGTTATCCCCCCTGGAGAGTGATTACTTGTTTTCTGTCTCTCTGGCTAGCGCATGTGACTTACAGCAAAAATCTCTCTAAAACTAATTTTTTAAATAATGAATAAAATTAAATAAAATAATTCTAGGAAAAAAGGAGATAGCATTTACCTTACAAAACAGTTGTGAAGATTAAATAAGGTAATTACATATAGCATAAGCACTGAATATTTTTCTCTCTTTATACTTTTTAATTTTCCAAAATTTCTTCAATGAACATATATTACACTTTAGTAACCAGCAAAAATAAATAAAATAAAAAAGTTCTTAAAAATGGCCAAGGGGCCAGCAGCTGGCATAATGGTTAAGATGCTGGACTCCCACATAGACCACTGTGGTATGAATCCTGGATCTGGTGGCTTGAAAATCAGGCTGGGCACCTATATGTGCATACCCAAAATACAAGGAAAATGAAGGAGAAGGGATTATGGTGTGGCTATCCCCCACAGGATGATTTCTCACTTTCCCTCTCACTGTCTCTCTCTGTCTCTTTGGCAAGCATATACGCCCTGTGGCAAAAACCTTAAAAAAAAAGAAAAAAAAAGACAATGCCAGGACCACCCATCATGTGGTAGTGGTGAAAGCAGCTGGACCCTGCATGGCCAATTGCACGGTTCAAGTTTTGGACCTAGCAGCTTGAAAAACATGCTGTGTAAGTGTGCACATGTGCCCAAAATCCTAAGAGGAGAATGAAGGGAGTATGGCATGGTCATCCCCCAAGGGCGCTTTCTCATTTTCCCTCTGTCACTCTTTCATAAAACAAACAAAAAAGCAAAGCAAGCAAACAAACAAAACGTGTTGAAATAAACATGAGTAAATTGTGAAACTGAGTAAGGGACACTGCTGGGCCCCTCCTCTCCCAAAGGCCTTGACTCAGAATGAAGTTCATCACCTATCTTGAATGATCTAGGCATTTCAACTCCCTGTAGTACCTGCATGACCTTGAGCAAGCTACCTGACCTCTCTCAAAGCCCAACCCTTTTCTTTTCCTTATTTGAAAGGAATGATACTAGAGCCCTTGCAGTAACTGTAAGGTTTTAATAAGACAATATGTCTAAAGTATTAGGCACACTGACTAGCACAAGAAAGTACTAATGTTAACTAAAATCTCTCATTATCATCATCATTCTTGGCTGAATAAGAATTGTTAAGCTCCTCCAGGAGTAAAAATACAATCACTCTTTCAAACAACAGTTTAGTAATTTTTCCTAATCAATTATAACTTCAAAGAGCTATTTCATTATAAATTATCAAGACTACAGGGCTAAAGAAAAACTCTCTAAATACAGTTTAGACTCACATAAATAAACTATATCACATTTGGATTCTTAACTAATTATACAACTAGTGTTAGTAAGCCAATTCCTGTGGGGTTTCCCCCCACATTTCTTTGTATATATAAACATTTGTATTAGAATAAATTATATGCTTAAATAAGTGAACTCAATCAATTACTAGCTATATCTAGGTCAAGGCTTTCCACCTGATAAAATTAGATCAGAATCAGTGTTAAGATTTAGAAAAGCCTAAGGATCACCCAGTCTGATCCTTTCGTTCTACAAATGGATTTAGGAAATGTAGTTAACTCGTGAACAAGGGAAACATTCAAATACTAATCTACTTTTTCAGGAATTAGTCCAAATCCTAAAAGGAATATATAGTAAACCTCAACATAGACTTTTAATATGACATCAATTTTTAGCCCAGCTAAAGGTGTTACTATTATTACCACACTTTTAAGGTGTAAGTGGGAACTTCTTTTCTCACTTTCAACAACTGAATCCACAGCTTGGAATTTTCTTTCAAGACATTTCTTTATTATGGGAAATAAGGAGGAGAGAAAAACAAAAACAAAGGTCAAGAATTTAAGGAGCTCTATTTGATATCTAATTAAAAGAACAGTGATTTTTTTTTTAAAGTTGAACCAAAGAGTTCACAAGCACAGACAAGACTACTGCAAGAATACTTTCCTTCACCTTTATATAAAAAAATCTTCATGATACAAACAGCTTTTAAACATATGAAAATACACTCAACTTTACTCATTAAGAGAAATGAAAATTAAAACAAAATTCCCATCAGCCTTGCAAAAATCTAAGTCACTAAGCTCAGAAGATGTATCCTTGGAATGTTCACTTTTTGATTCTATATTTTTTTGGCTTTTGCCATAGGGTGTGTGTACTTGCAGGGGAGAGAGAAAGAGACAGTGAGAGAGAAAGTGAGAAATTTCCCACAGAGGGGATGGCCATGCCGCAATCCCTTCTCCTCCATTTTCTTCTCAGGATTTTGGGCACGCCTGCACATATGCTTGGTTTGGGTTTCAAGGCACCGGGTTCCAGGACCCGAATCACAGTCAGCCATGTGGAAATCCACTGCATTAACCACTACACCACCTGCTGACTCCTGGCTCCTCAATAATCATTTCTATTGACAAGCAGGTTTGTGCTCATACATGATTGTGTGTTTATATTTGTATGTAAATGTTAACACCGACACTTTGGATAAAGGAGGAAATTAGTTTATTTTTATATTTCTGATGGAAATATAACCTCCATGAAGAAGATTTTGACAATATATATCAAAACAATAAACATTAATTTCCCTGGACCCAGCAATTTTTCATCTAGTTTATCTACAGTGATAAGACTGTGAACACATGAGAGGTATCACAGGTGTAAAAATACTCATTGCAGCATTGCTTGTAGTAGTAAAAATCTGGTAACATGAAGTCTATTTAAAATAAAATGGAGGGCCAGGAGGTGGCATGGTGGTTAAGGGCACTGGACTCCCACATGGCCAACTGTGGTTCAAGACCCAGACCTGGCGACTTGTTTTCTCTCTTT